GCGCGGGCACGGGCGCGTGAGCGCCATCGTGCGTCTGTTGCTGGGCGTCGGTGGCCTCGATGAAGTCGTCGATGCTGAAGCTGCGGCTGAGGTTGGAGAAGCTGCCAGCCCGCTGACGCTCTCCTTGACCTTGGAGGTGAGCTTGGCCAGCAGGACCGACCAGCGTGGTGACGATGTGCAGCGGCGCGTAGAGCGGCAGAGCGCGCTGAAGCCGGCCCACGCGAACGTGAAGAAGTGTTGCACGCAGGTTTCGTGCGGGTGCAGAACCGTACAGATGTTGAAGTTCAACAGGTTCTGGAAGAGAGAGTGAGAGAGGGACCGTGAGTGGGCATGTGCGCGCAAGCGGTGCGCGCGAAGGAAACGAGTGAGTGGAAGTCATGAGCAACGTGGTGTGGCTGGCTTCGCTGGTGAGTAAATAAGTTAGGAGAGCTAGTGTACCTGGCGCGCAACCTCGGGGTCGATCTTGCGCTCCCTGGAGAAGGACTTGAGGTGATCGAGCTCGAGCGGCAGACCAAAGTGGGTGTGCTTGATGAAGCCTCGGACACGCGGGTCCTTGCCACCGTGCACTGGTGAAGAAGAGGAAGAAAGAAGAAGAAGAATAAGGCCTCTTGCGAAGGGAATCTCTTATTGGAGGGGGAAAGCGGGTGGTACCATTGAGGAAGTTGCGGTACGAGGGCGCAAGAGTGTCCTGCTCGAACGCTGATGGAAGACACGCACACAACGCAAAGAAAGAGTGAGCGTAAGTTACACGGCGTAACCAAGGGAGCACGCGATGGTACCGTAGCAGTACAGCACTGGGCAGAACACAAGCGAGAGAAAAGTGTCAGTAGCGTTTTCATTCCTCTTATTAAATAAACAAATCATAATAATCATAATAATCAATTAATGACGTGAGATTAATATTGATAATAAATAAAATGTCGGGGCGGGTTGGGTGGGAAGGGGGGGGGCACCTTGGCCCGCAGTGGCGCACATGAGGAGGACGTCGAGGTGGGAGGAGAAGCGAAGGAGCCACGCGGGGAGGATTTGCTGGCGGCCGAGGAAGGCAAAGAAGAACTCCATGCTGCGCACCAGCGAGTAGATGGCCAGCGTGCGGCGGTCCTCCGGCCGGACGCAGATGAGCGAGAGGCCCGTCGCCGCCCCGGCCACGAGGTCGGCCGCGGCGAAGCGGGGCTGGAGGGCGCGCACCTGGGCCAGGTCGCACGGGTCGGCACCGGCGTGGGCGATGATGGCCCGCCGCGAGAGGCACGACACGGCCTTCCACACGGCGGCCAGCGAGCCCAGGAAGAAGCCCCAGCGGAGGTCGACCAGCTTGACGAGCTTGGGCACCAGGCGCTTGGGCACGCCCTTGCCCTTCCGGCGCTTGCGCAGGAGGAACCCGACCAGGTTGAGCAGCGTCTTCACGCCCGACCCGACCGCGAAGTTGCGAGCGAAAGAGCGGAGGAAGTGCGCCCCGCAGCTGCGCTCCCAGTGCACCTCGCCGCAGCCGCTGGCAGTCCACCGCCGCATCGTACGCGCCACGCCGGCTTCGTCCTCCCCCACTCTCTTACTGTTGGCCGCCTCCTCTTCTTCGAGTAGGGCCTCGTCGGCAGCCTCCACAGCCACGGCCTCCGCCTCGGCTTGCGCTATCACCGGCACCCCGCCAGCCGCCGCTGCTGCCACCGCCCCCACCTCAACGTTCGACATGTGTGTGCGTGTTGTTCTACTGCTTGCGGCGAGCGCGAGAGTGTTTGTTGTGGCGCACACTGCGAGCTGCCTTTGGGCGATTGCGCCCCCTCGGGTTGGCGGGAAAATCCGAAGGTTGGGCTGCTGACGTGGCAACCACAAAGAAAAGATCGAACAACAGATTACAAGCTTGTAAGACAGAGAGATCAAAGCCTTGGCAATGGGATTCACGCTGGGCTGCTTGCTGGAGGGTAATGATTACCTGGCCTTCTCCATCTTTCTTCCAGACGTAGAAGGCTAACTTGTGGACGCTCCTCTTTGCAGCCGTGCTCCTTTTCGTGAATGCACTGGCCGTGCTCAATGAGCAGAGACTCCTGCAAAAGAGTACATCCTCCCCCCCCATCTACCTGTTCGTCTTGTGGCAACTTGCCCTGACGTCCCTCCTTATGTGCAGTTGGGTGGGCTTACAACCCAACGGACGCGCTCGATCAAGACTCAGTTAAACAGAAAATCACACATCTTCTCTACTCCATTCGTTTCCTCTTGCGAAGTACGCTCCCTCCCTCGCGTGGACTCCCTCGCGGGAGTCTCTTCCGCTGCGTGCTGTTGCTTATTCTTGTGTGTGACGTCCCCACAGTTCCGCTGATTGGTGTCAACTCCTTGTACATCGTCTACCTGCTCATCTTTGGTTGAAGGACGGGTGCGTGCACGCACAACCGCCCTAACGTTGGGGTCCACTCTTTTTTTTTATAAATAGGTTCGAATACTGCACCTTAGTCTTACTTACACACACAAGAGGGGAGAGGGGAGAGAGAAGTGAAGGACGAGAGATAGGTGATAGAGAGAGAATCTTGGCTTCGGCGGAAAGCATCACTGCCCCTCCACGACAGCTTCTTCGGGGGCGGCGGAGGCCGGCGGAGGGGTGGGCGGCACTTCATCGGGCATGTCGGCAGCCGGAGCGCTTGTTTGCTGCTGCTGCTCTGCGTTGTTGTTGCTGCTGCTCTCGCCGCCCTCTGATGATGCAAGCAGC